AGGAGCACCAGCTTCAAGAGTTCAGAAGGTGAGACAGGCCTCGTGGCACATGCCAGTCATCCCACTACTCAGGAGGCTGAGGCAGGAGGATTACCTCAAGTTTGAGGCCAGCCTGTGCTATATAATAAGTTCAAGGCCAGCCTGAACTACGTAGCAAGACTGTGCCTCAAAAGAACTTTTTAAAAAAGTTCAGAAGGTGGGCCCAGGCGAGCCCTTGAGGGTTCCACAGTGGAGCACCACTCCCTGTTCTCCTGGCATCTGGAGTGTGCCCACCCTCCCTTCGCTCCCCATACAAAGGCCACAGATCTGGCGGTTTTTGTGGTTTGTCCCACCTGCTCCTATTTTGGGGCTATGGAGATGTCCTGACATCTATTTATTTTAGAAACGTGTGGGGGTTTCATTTTTTTCTCCCTAACTTCTCTGTCTGCTCGTACTTGGGGATGTGGGGAGACCCAAAGACCACACTACTGCCACCTCTGTGTCTCCCTGGAATTCCCCAGCATCTCTGTTCTGTGACTTGAGAAAATTTAACTTCCCGTTGAGGAACACAGCAGGGGAGGGAAAGGGAAGGGAGGGATCCTAGTTTCAGAGCCCTTAGGTTTTTTTTTTTCCATTACAGTTTCTCTAGTAACTATTTTTGCTATTGCAATCCATGGCTTTAAAACAGAACTTGGTTTCTGTAACCTACACCGATCTGTCTAAAGATCTCTAGTATTCAAGGCCCAGCTGCCTCTCCAGTGTCATCTCCTCCACTCACTCAAGTGCATCACCATCCTGGCCCCCAAAGGACACCTTCCTTCCTTCACCAATTCTTTACCTAACACTCACCCTTTACTTCTTCCTCCAAGAGCAGCTCCAATCCCCCTGTGCTAACCAGCTTCTAGAAGTGACTCTAAATCTTTGTTTTTCCCCTCATGACTTCTGGGGTCAAAACATTAAGTTTTTTTTGTTTTGTTTTGTTTTTTGCCAACCATGACAGTGTATAGATTCACATTCAGAAGCAACCTCTTCAACCTGCATAGTGAAACCACAGCCATTGGTCATGGCAGCTGCTCTATCCATGCATGTGCTGACACAAAATGACCCATTCAGTTTTCCTCACATGTAGTCATTCAAAAACTGCAATAGCTCTGTAGCTGTGGCGTTGGTTGGCAACAAAAGTGCATACAATGTATCCTCATGCACATCCTTGTAAAAAAAAATATTGCACAAAAACACGCATCCCTGCCTTATCCCCATCTACAGACTTGACCTGGATTATGTGACATATTGCTTCTATTCTGCTTCTATTGTGCCTCAAAATCCTCTTCTATTTCATCAGTTCATTTAGTTACGGTCTAGCCGAAAGAAAACACATGCCGCCCTTTGAACTGCAGCCCATCCTAAAAGTTCAGGACAAGTGTCCTCAGCAGCAGTGGGACCAGCTCTTCACTGGTAGTAAAGGGCTCCTTCGCTTCAGCAATGTGGTGAGCCAGCTAAGAATGATGCTCTCACTCAGACACATTTGATAAAGTTGGCGGTCTTCAACAACTGCTTCTATTCTTTGTGTCTAAGATTTTTTTCTTTTGAAATACTCCAAAGGCTTGTCTTTTAATGCAGTGTGCTTGGTTTCCATGTGACAAAGCAGTTTTGAAGGTTTCATAGTTTCATTGAGTAGCCATTCACCACATGTTATGCAAAACAAGCTTGGAGAATGCGAATCGCCTATTTCAACTGATCTGAAATTTAAGTAGGACTCTTGGAATTGTCTTTTAAATTCAGCTTTCTTTATGTTGGCATCTTAGAGTCTTCTGCTGTCTCATCATTGGATCTTTCCCCCTTTGTGAAGAAGCTTTCCAGTGGTGTTGGTTCTTTTACTCATTTTGGCCAGGATTAGCTTGTGGGCTGCCAAGACTGACTGAGACTAGTGCACAGTGCAGGAAAGAGGCATGAACAGAAGCAGTAAGTAAAATAAGAGGTGCATAAGCAGACTAAGTATCAACAGACTGAAAGCCTGCCACCAGCTTAATAGCAATTGATTTATTATGTCTCTGTGCAGTCAGCTGCTACCGACCGTAGGGCAGCAAACACGGGATTTCACGAGGAGATACAGGTTCTCTGAAAGGTGGGAGCAGGTTCGGCGATGACAGTCAGACAAAAGCACTCAACACCGAGGTGAAGTTTGCAAATGCTGCTGCAATTTTATTTCTAACTCTAGGTGTTTATATACTAGTTTCAAGGGCACACCTCAAGAGTGATTCCAGTCACAGGCAGGCATGAGAAAGATAGACAATAGTACTGTAAAAACTAAGACCACAAGGTCAAGGTAAGACCACACCTATACGCAGTCAGAAGGGGAAGTTTGTAAAACAAAGGACTGGCTTCAGCATGTCACCTTCAGGATCACCTTCAGGACTTCACAGTCCGGGGCTCAGGGTCAGCACTTTGGCCTCGCGTCCTCTTGTGCCTCAACACCTCCCCATCTCTAGGAACAACTAATTGTTCCTAACCTTTCCTGGGCAATTCTACAGATAATGAACAAATAGTAATAAAGACAAAATAGAACAGAATTATAGATGAACCCAATGTCCCCAAACTGCAGGCAGAGAGGCCAGCTATTCTCTTCACGGCTGACTTTGCATGCGGTGTGTGCCAAGGACCTCCAGGAGGCTTAACCCCGTGGGGACGATACCTCTGGTCTGGTTTCTGCCAGGTGACCGGCATTGTCACGCAGACTCCACTGGAGTGGTCGTGGCAGTCAGCCCTCTCTGCTAATGATAATCTATATTTGCAGCTGCTCCCCAGCACTAGTACCCCTGCCTCAGCTCCACCCCAGATAATTAGGTATTAGATTCTCATAAGGAACATGTGACCTAGATCCCTCCCATGTGCAGTTCAGAGTAGGGTTTTCAACGTATGAGAATCTAATGTTTGACAGAAGATAGAACTCTGTAATTCGAGTGATGGATAGCAGCTATAACTATAGATGAAGCTTTGTGGTCTTACCTACTGCTCACCTCCTACTGTGTGGTCCAGGTCCTACAAGTCAAGAGCCAGTACAAGTTCATGGCCCAAGGGATTAGGGACTCCTGCTTTAAGATTAGTCAGGTGGTAAAGGCAAAACAGGAAAAAAAAAAAAAAAAAAAAAAAAGGCTGTGGCCCAGATACCGCTTTGAAAGACAACATCAGAAGTCCAGGTAACCAGCAAAGAGAAAAACAGAAGTGTGAAATGGAAAAGAACAGATGATGGAAAACTTGTACAGAAAAAACTCAAGCAGGACTTGTGTAGGAAGAGGACTGCATCTAGACTATATCCAAATGTCTGAATCTGGATTCCTGCAGATGTGTTGCCCCAGGAAGGGAATCACAAGCCCTTGTGATGGTCCCGAAGCCCCATTTCCTGCCCCAGCCCCCCTTGAGAACTAAAGAAATTGACCTGAACCCCCAACCCCAAGGGCCCTCCAGGCCAGTCACATTATGGTTACTACAGTTTCCTCTTCTCTGAAGTGTTTCTAGCGATAATGACATCTTTAATGACACTGTGCTGGGACATAAATGCACATCCTATTATTATAAGTCTCTTAGGCATTTCTCAGCTGTCTCATTTGGTTTCACAATAGCCCTGTGCCACAAAGCCAGGGAAAGTTTCACTCTCCCTGCATCAAGAAATCAACCGACCTCTATAAGAATCACAAGTCAGCAGCAAACCCGGGAATCGGTCCAAGATTCTGTGTGTGTGTGTGTGTGTGTGTGAGCACACGCACGTGCACAAGCACATGTGAGCAAGGTGCTGTGTAAATGTGAGGCACCTTGTAAGGGCAGGGAAGCGCCCTTGCTTCTCTGCTTAGCAGAGGAGGATTATCTGTACACAGGGGAAGGATCCTCCTGCTTGAAACGTGGCTCCTCACATTGGCCTGTGTATTCAAGGGCAAAGTCTGGCTCCACACTGTCTGCTCCTAATGGGCTCTGAGCTCTTTCTATTAGTGAAGAAATGAATTATTGAGAATCTCCCGTGTAATAAAGTCCGGCCAGGTTCGGGAGGATGCAGATGTTCTAGGGAGGAGTCTTTGTCCTCAGAAAGCAGCCCAGAAAGACCAATGCAAGGGATCAAGTCGAGACTGTTCTGGACATGTGTAGGGGCCCAACACAAAGGCTGCTGGAGCTGTGCTGGCTGGGAAGGGACCCTCAAAGAGACCAGAGAGATGAAGAGCCTACAGTGACTGGGGAGAGCATTAGACATAGAATAATGCTTGTAAACCCCACCCCTGAGGCCAGACCTGCTAAATGTGTCCTCTGAGAAGAGCTGCCCAAGCAATGCATGTAGGACACTCTGCATACACAGGGGAATGAGCAGAAGCTGGAATGTATGAATCAGCCCAGGGAGATGTGGTCCAGGCCACAGATCATTGTGACTCAGACTAAGTACTAGCATTAATGATGCCAGAGCTAAGGTACAAAGGAACCTGATGAGTTTGGACTGAGAAATGACATGAGTTTCAATTACTAAGTTGGGAAAAGGTACTGAGGCTGGATTTAGAGGCATTTATTTGGTAATTCTCTTTGGGCAGTGTGGGGTTTGACGTATCTTTGACTTTCAAAAGCTGACACTCAGCAGCCACTGTGGTGGTCCTGTGTGGGACTTGGACTCAGGTTTGGACTGGGGTGATACATTTTCGGGAAGGGAGCGGGTGGAATCATGGATTACCATATAGATTTCCTGTGGCTGCTGTCATACAATGTATAAACCAGGAGTCTTGAAATAACAGCTATTTGTGCTCTCCCAGATTCGGAGGCCAGAAGTCTGAGAGTGAAGTGTAAGCGGGGCCAAGCTGAGCCTCCTTGGAAGGCTCTCAGAGAGAATCTTTCCTGCCCCTTTTGAGCTTCTCCCGCATCTTTTGTGTCATTGGGTTCCTTGGTGCACAGCTGCAATGCTCCCATCTCGGCTGCTGTTACCACCTGTGTCTGTCTATGTCCGAGTCACCCTCTCCTTAGGAGGACCCGTCCTGGGATTAACACCCCTTCAAATTCATTATGACCTCACTGGAACGTGATCACATCTGTGAAGATCCTGATTCCATGGTGCAGGTAGACGTGAACTTCGAAAGGACACTGTTCAACCTTGGGTCAGTCACCGGGGAAAGAATGTCGCTAGAGAAGAAGCCTGAGGGGTACAGGGCTTTCAGATCCTCGTGGTTAGAGGACAGACAGAAGGACCTACTTAATAACGCAGCAGGGAGTGAGTCTCACTAGGCTGGAGGAGCATCCTTCCAACAAGAGTGACCAACAGTGTCACACACCGCTGGGAGATGGAGGAGGACCGACTTTCTGGTTTTGGAAACAGCTAACAGACAATTCGGTATTTTCAGTGTAATAAGGACAAAGGCATGACTGGATGGGGTTAAAAATGGGGTGGACAGGGACAATGTAAAAGCAGCATGCTGGGATGTCCCTCTCTGCACCCTGAAAGCAGAGTTAGGAACTGGGGATAAGACACGCGGTGCTGAGGTGTCTTTGTGAAGACGATGAGGGGCCCCGGCCAGCAGAGGGGCAGTAGTGACAGTGTCTCCACTTGTGTGACATCCTTGATGGCCCAAGGGGCTGGCACTAGGTACCTTAGGGGAGGGTTGGCCTCACCCAGCAGTAGGGACTGGCCATTCTGGGAATGCATCATGGTGGGTCTCATGGGGAATGCAGCAAGTTCTCAGTTGGCAGAGTATATTTTATCTGTCAACTGTGAGTGATCAAAGCTGAGAGCTGGGATGGGGATCTCAGGAGCGCTGGGGTGGAGGCAGGGAGACAACCTGAAGCATGGGAGGTAGTGTCCAGAGATGCACAGGAGGACAGTGGTCCCTGTAGAGATCCAGATGGCACGGGCATGCCCAGCCAGGCTCATGGAGAAGGCCTCTGGGACTGCCCAATGCTGGGGTTTTACCAAAGGGAGGAGTGGGCTGGGGAGGCTGGGGCTCACCAAGGACCATCAGTAAGAGTGAGGTTTAAGGAATCAGAAGGCAGTGTGGGGGCGGCCAGGAGGTGGGTGCTTGGGGCTGCTGGTGAGAGATGTCACTGGTTAGGACGGTGTTGATGTGAGAGCATGGAATGCATGAGGACCAGGGGTAGCAGCTGGTGTCTGGAATGGAGGCCAGGGAGGCGGGGGACTATGTCTAGCTGGAATAAGGTTGAGTGGTGTGTGTGTGTGTGTGTGTGTGTGTGTGTGTGTGTGTTCAGGGATGGCTAGGAGGAGGCAAAGGACAATGAGACCAAGGTAGCACCTGGCAACTATTTCAGCATGGCGTTGTGCCAGTGCACAGGAGAGTAAGGCCTACTCCAGGGTGCTCCTAGCTGCTAGGAAATCAAAGGCAAAGGAAAGAGCCATTGTTCACTGCCAGAACTTGACGAGTCAAGGAGGCAGAGGCAAGGGGCCACAGGGCAGTGAGCCCACAATTCTGTCCTTGCCAGTTTCAGGTACCTGCTAGCAGGTGCTCCTGAGAGCAGCAGGAATGAGGACGGCATCTGAGCAGAGTCCCCAGGAGCCTCACAGCAGGAGGACAGAGAATGAGAGTCCTGCATGGGCCAGGAGGTGACCCCAGCACACATCTGCCCTCCTTCAGGGAGTTTGGAATTCAGTTTGAGATGGGAATGAGAGAAGGAGAGGAGGAGCTAGACATTAACAGAAGGAAATATTTAGCAGCAACAGGGGTCCCAGTAATCTACTCATTGTCATCATAAAAGCAGCCAAACTATGTGATCAGTTTAAAGGGCCCAAGGCCCTGCCAACTGTCTATTTTAAACTGGATGCACATTTTTTACTTGTTTTATTAGGATCAATAAGCTTGAAATATAAAAACCTTTTTCCAGATAAGTTTCACACAGGTAAATCAGGCTTTTCCAAGGGTGGATTTGCTAAATATTCAACAATAAAGTACTTGTAGAAAGCAGAGGGGAAGCTGACAAGTATGTTTGTCTTGGCAAAGGGGAGCCTTGGGTCACCTTTCCAGCTCTCCTGCCTCCTTGGGGTGACTGTCCTTGGAGCTCTTTCAATTGAAAGCTTGATGGAGAGAGTGGTTTAACTTTTCTTTTTTTTTTTTATGTCTCTTTTTTTATGCCTCTACACAATTGCCTAACAAGTTCTTCAGTAATAATGGTGGCTGAAATGAAGAGGGAATAATCCTGACAGAGCTCTGAGGATTAGAAGTGCCAGGTAAAACCTGTAAGAACCCATGTCCCTGTTTTGCAAAGAGTAAGCTGAGATGCAGACACCTTAAGTAACCCCCTCTTAAAGGCTGAAAAGTGCAGGAGCTAGGAGTCAAACCCAAGACTGGAATCAAAGCCCAAGCCCTTTCCCACAAAGCCTGCTGCCCCGTCATCAAGCAGGGGCGGCACATTCACTAGCACCACTGGGTGATCAACAGAGAGGAGAGCAATTCCCAACATTGTGCCAGCATACAGCATTCATTCTTTCATTTACTCATTCATTCATTCATTATTTCCATCTGGCAAATGCTTGTTGAGTGCCTGCTCTGTGTAGGCCCTGTGCTAGAAGCTAGGGCCACAAATAGGAAGGTGTGGATAGGCAGTCTACAGAAGATCCATGTCCAGACCTAAAGATATTGAAAGAAGCCACTTGCTAGATAAGAGCACAAGAGCTTACTCGTGACTGTATTAATAAAATATTGATCAGCTCATGTGGAAATGTTGGCAGTACGATGTCAGTGGGAAAGGCCAGCTATGAAACTGAGACTGAATCTAAGACCCTCCCCACAAACACACTGCTTGTCTTGTGCTACTGGGGATTGAACCTAGGGCATTTTCCCTGAGCTACAACAACTCTCTCTCTCTCTCTCTCTCAATTCTGAGACAGGGTCTTGTACATCACTGTTTCCCAGGCTGGGTTTCAACTTGCAATCCTCCTGCCTCAGCCTCCCCAAGTTCTGGGATTACAGGTGTGTGCCACTACCCCTGGGTCTAAGATTTCTTAATGTTCAGAAAGCAAACTTCTGCTGAAGTTGCACAGATGCGCTGAATGTCCTCCATGCACCTGTGCAGTTCCCATATGCCCTCCTCCACTTGCTCTGTGACCTTAGTGGCTACATCCAAGGGCACCTTGACCTTGGCCTCTGGTCCCTTGGGACAGCAGAAGTCACGCCAGGGTCCTGGATAGAGGGAGGAGAGTGGAGTTAGGAAGGCATCCCGCATGCCTCCCTGTGGCCAGCCTCAGCAAGGCTGGTTCCATCACCTGCTCATAGGACCCTGTGGCTGCCACCTTCACCTTTTTTGCCAAAAGTGCAAAGATGTGTGCTATCACCAACTCCAGGTCGTGCAACACTTTCAATGCTCCCAGCACCTTGCCCTCGTGCTAGTGAACAGTTTATCACTAATCGTCCTTCAAATCCCCTAAACTGTGGGTGCTAACAATTACCTGGAGGGATCCTGATGAACACATCTGGTTTGTGGGCTTGTGGTCATCTTGTTGCCCCCACCTGTGTTTTGCTACATCTTTGTAACAGTCACCTTTACCATGACCAAGTCATGACTCCTCTTTTGTCTAAGCACCATCCTCAAATCCAGGGTGGGCCCATCACCCATGATTGTGTCAAGTGCCCATGAGTGGCTGGGCTGGAGTGGAGGCCATAGGACACCTGGGCCCAGTGGGTATCCTCTCCCAGAAGGTCTGGTCAGGACTGGAGACTGCGGCAGCCTTGCCTAATAGACATCCTGAGAACAAAGAGAGAGTCGAGGCCAGCTGGCAGAGGGACAGAGAGAAAATCTGACTGGCCCTGGGCACCCAAGGACAGATGCCACTTCCAGCCCTCACAAGTCCTGGGGTCACATGGCCTCCCAGGGCCTGGACATTGGCTCAGGGGCCTTCCCATCCCTCCCTCTGTTCTCATGTCAGTTTGAATTAATTTCTGCCACTTGTGACCAAATAACTCCTCAGGAACATGATCCTGGGTTCTTTCACAATCAAAAAGTACTACAAGATTTTAATCTTTTATAACATTCCATTCTGAAATACTACTAGACCCACAGGAAGTTCCAAGAAGTAGTACAGAGTCCATAGCCTTCACCCCCAACCCCCTAACAGTGACATCCCATGTAGCTTTGGGACAGTATCCAAACCAGGAAATGTCTATGGCTGCTTGAGTTGTTATCCGGACTACACACATTTGATCCTCACCACTGTTCACCTGCTCTCATGGATTGCGCTCTGCAGCCCATATCAGGCCCAGGAAACCGCTGACCTCTCCTTCTGGTCCGTACTTTTACATAGTGAATACTGTGTAATGGAGGCAGCTGTAGTCACACACCCACCAAAGACATTTCCATCAAGCATGGACTGTATATATGACAGTGGTCCCATAAGAATACAGTGCAGCTGAACAATTCCTATCACCCTTTCACTGTTTTGACACGAAAACACAGCTTCTCAGCATTCTTGGAAGCAACTCAAACCCTCATCTGTGATTTCTACCTGCTTTTTGCTTGCCTTGGAATATAATTAGCAAAATCAGACAGTCGCACGACCTCATCCCTCAAAGCTCTGTGCTGGATCATGTCATCCGTTAATTGTCACTGCGTCATCTTCACCGTCTGAACAGCTGCGTGCAGGTCATGATCTTCTCCTCTCGGCGCAGGACACCGTCTCAGCGTGAGTGTGGTTTGCCAAGTCGGGGCAGAGCAGGGCAAACCAAGGGGTGTCCTGACTCAGCTGAATGCTGCTCCCAGCCTCCCTGCAGCTCCTGCTGCTCTGCACTTCGTGGTTTCAAGATAATGATCCTGGAAAATAAAAGCCAAAGAAGAGCTCAGCTGCTCTGTTTTTTCATCTGTTCCATTTCACCGTCTGTCCCAAGCAGGGAGCCTCTTTCTTGTTCCTGTTTCTCGCAGCACAGCAAAATTCTATTTAAGAGCTGACGCAGCATGATTTGTGAGCCTTCCTTCAGACTGGCTCTTAGCTTTCTCCAACAATTTAGCAGCATATCCCGAGTCATGACCCATCTAGCAGCAGCTCAGCACTGGCAGACTGGCAGACATGAGTTTGAATCTCGGAGCTTGGCTGCATACCACTCACTCACCTGCTTCAGGAATGCAAGGGACTCCTGTCTCAGGATCTGTTTCCTTGGGTGAACCTCCTCCTCCTTCTGTGTCCATGCCCCGTACCTTAGCTACCCCTAGACTTGATTTACTAGCAGAAAGCAGCAGAGTCATGCTGAGCATTCCCAGTCTAGAACACAGGAACGCCTGGCAGTTTCCAGGTTCATGCTTTGGGTGGGGGCTCTGGGGTATCCTGGAAGAAATTGGACTGCTCTGCCCACAGACCCAGGTAAAGCAGGGCATGTGGATGAGATCGCAGATAAATCAGATTGCGTCATCTAAAATCATTGAGTAATTGCATAGATAAAACTCCTTGGACAGATGACTTGCCATTCAAGTGAAAATAGAAGGAAAACATGGAAACAAAATTTTTATACATAGCAAGGGTAGGGGGCCTGAGGGGGGAAATGGGATACAATTAAAATAAAATTCATTTTAAAAAATCATGTGCCGTTAAGAGTTATTTTCATATATAAGGCGTCGCTTTCTTAAGGTTTTCATATATTGAGACCTAGGTACACTATGGTGAAGCAACCGGCCTTTTATGTTTCACAAGCTGCTGAAATAAGAGCTCCAGCAGTCCTGACATGTAAACGAGTTTGCATCAAGCAAACCAAGGCTCCCCAGCAGTTTGGATGTTTTAATATGAAGACAGTGAAAGCAACAATAAGGAAGTCTAAATTATGGCCCCTGTCATTCCTGGAATTGCAAATACTTCCTTTCCAGTGTTCACTGAATTCCTTCAACAGACCGTGCTGATATTGGAGCTATGTTTCTTCTTTCTGCAGGCACCAATATCCAACCTTAGCACTTAATTCCTGCTCCTGAGCCCAGCAGCATTAGATATCCTTAAGTGCAGCCTTCAACAATGACCCAACACTAACTTGATGTGAGCAACAGTTTTACAGTTATAAAAACAGCCCAATTAAGATCTCAGGTTGCTTGCTGGCAGAATTTGGTTAAATATGACGTAATAAACCTAAGCCAGCCAACTAAAGCTTTATGTTAATAATGACATTTTGCATAAGGTGCTGATATGAAAAGGCACTTGCTACTTTATTGTTAAAGCTCAAAATACAGAGTGGATTAAATATTAAACCAGACCTTGGGGCTGGGGATTTAGCTCAGTGGTGCTGTGCCAGTCTGGCAAGCACAAGGTCCTGAGTTCGATTTCTGCTACCAAAACAAAAAACAAACAAAAAATGTAAACCAGGCCTCAAGACTGCATTGCTTTTCTTTGCTGTTAGAACAAACATTAGAGATTTCATTTCAAAACACACCCCCCATTAAATTAGTGTGACTCTATAGTGTTTTGAGATTTAGTTTACAAATTGTTTACAAATAACATAAAGTATGTATATACTTAACATGTATTTGTATATGTACGTATATACACATACATATACATATAAATATCTTTATCCAAATAATCTTAATGATCTGGGCACCAATATAAATGCAAAAAGCTTTAATTACTCCCTTCTACAAGATAGTGATAATGAACTTAATTTCTTTCTCTCTTGCTTAGGGGAAAGGAAAAGCAAACTTACATTTATAAAGCAAATTACTGACCTGGTACACCTTGAGCTCTTCAAAAAAAATCAGTGAATGAGGCACTCTACTTGTTTTTATTTCATTCTTAGAGTAACTAGCACATGATAGGGTAATATCGCTATTTTAGCAAGGAAGGAAACTGAGGTTTAATGACATTAATTAGCTTGCACCAGGCCACATAAGTAATCAGTGGTGGAATTGGAATTCACAGCCACCTCCCATCTTAGTTGGAAATTTGTGCTTTCTTCTTGGGGAAGGGAGGGGAGGACAGGAGAGGGAAGGGGAGGGAAGAGGAGAGTAGCCTTGATGACCAGATTTTCTTGGTTCCTAAAACTCACTCCTGGTGTCTGGTTGTTCAGGTCTTGGGTAAAGATCCCAAGCCTCAAGAGGAAGCCCCCTCTTTGAGATACTGGAAACACCACCCCTCCTCTCTGTGGGCACCAGCCTGACGTGTGGAATTAAAAAATCCAGCTCTCAAATAAGGTTTATCACATGATTGCATACTTTAGGGGAAAAAAATACTTCTCTAGACAATTGGGTAGTTGGTGGCCTTTTCCTGAGAATTCTGGATGGCCCTGATTTCTCCCTCAGATAAAATTTCCCTTGAGGAAGCCTCTAGTCTACATTTTAGAACCTAAAATCTAGGACCTATGGGCTGCATCTAAGTCACTGATTTGTGAGTCCATCTGCTTCTGTCCGTGAAAATTGAGATGTGATAGCTTTTCTCTCTCTTGTACCCTTCTTATTCTGTCCTGTCCTGCCCTGTCCTTTTCCATTTCTTTCTCTTTTATCTTTCTGTCTTCCCCATACCCTCCTCCTCACCCTCTCCTCCTCTCTTCTCTTTTTCTCCCTTCCTCTTTTCTCACCCTTCATTGGTCTGACCTGCGGTCACCTGCGGCCACCTGGGAAGCTGTGCTATGCCTGGTGGGCTTGAATGGTGCTGTACTTTTTGGATCTGCACTGTTCCCCTAGCTAGGCCCAATGGTAAAGGCTTAGTCCCTAGCTTGGTGCCCACAGGAGGTGGAGGACGCTTTAAGGGTATAGTGGTAGGGGCTATGTCCCTGGAGGCGTGTCTTCAAGAGACTCTGTGGGATGCTGCTCTCTTCCCCTTCCTCCTTCCTTCCTGGCCTTCATGAGATAAGAATCATCACTGATTGATTCTTTTCTCTTGTGGCTGCATATATTATTTACCCTGAAGACAGTTAAATATATTTTTTTATAGAACACTCTTCAGTTTGTCACTGCCACCTGCGGTAGACTCCAGAATGCATACAGAGGGGTTCAGCCTTGCCCACTGGAGACTGGTGGAGCGCCTCAACACCGGGTTGCCTCAGGGTCCTGCAAAGCCTCCAAGATGTCAGTTTCCTATATATTTGCCGGCTGAATTATTCTAGATCTCCCTCTTGTGGGCATCGGTGAAATAAAACATACCAACTATTTAAAATAGATATGATGGGTATTATTTTACAAGGAGTCAATTTCTGTGAATACTATGAGTTGAATGGAACTCATAATTGTTTCTGTTATGCAATATTTTAAAATTGCAAAGCGTATATAGAGCAAAATATGAAAATACCCCCACACTCACCAGCCAACTTTATCAAATCTTAACATTTCTCCCCATATTTACTTTAGCTCTTTTTAAAAAATAAAATAGAGATAATTATGTATTCTCCCATGTTACTCCCCTCCAGGATGATCTTTATTCTGAATTTGTATTTACTACTCCATACATACTTTTATACTACATATATATATTAGTGCATGCCAAGTCAAGTCAAACTATTATTGTATAAGTCTTAAACCTACGAGAAGATATTATTATACTGTATACGTTCTTTTATAATCTGCTCTTCTCCTTCAAAATTATGTTCTTGAGCCGGATGTGGTGGCACACGCCTATAATCCCAGCACTCAGGAGGCTGAATCAGGAGGATCTCTGTGAGTTTGAGAGCTTGGGTTACATAGTGAGTTCTAGGTCAGTCTCAACTACATAGTGAGACCCTGTCTCAAAAAAAAAAACAAAACAAAAAAACGTTCTTGAAGTATATCCTCGCAGCTCTGTTCCATTCAGTTTTTCTGAGCATGTAACTCTGCACATTTTCTAGTAAAACTTCTCCTTTTATTTTTAAGAGCGGAAGTGTTAAAAAAAAAAAAGCATAGTTGAAGCAAACCAGAGGTGAAAGTTAGCAGGTATCACAGGAAGTCAAGAGAAAGCAAAGTGTCAGTGTGGAAATGACACTTCTTTTTTAAAAGTGCATCAAGATCAAAGTGGATGAAAAAAGTAAATTTCCTGCATGAGCCAAAGGATACGGGTCATTTCTATGGTTTTATGCAATGGAAACATAATTTTATGCAATGAAAATATGATGGACACTTTGATCTTTGTTCAACCTGAAAAGGGAAGGGAGTTGGTGATATTGTGGAGCCTTCATCCCTCCGGTGCCATCAAAATTGCGTGCTTGCTTCCTTATCAGTCTCATCTCTGTGTATTTGCCCTTGTCATTTCCCCACCTCAGAATGCTTTTTGCTACTTACTCTTCCCATGAGAATTTAAACCACCCTAGTAAGGACATTGAAAAACTTAACTAATTTTTTTTTATGAAAGGAGGAAGATTCAAGAACAGGTAAGGTAAACTTGTCCAGCTAGGAATGAAGGCACAAAGCCGAGGAGAGATGAATGGGCCAGAGGGACAGAATAAGAGCACAAAGGGAGACCCACTGTACATGAGAATCATTATACAATAAAAGTGGCCCAGAATTCAGTAGGAAAAGGAGGAGTTATCGATAGGCTTTTGGAAAATGGAGAAAGAACTAAACATTACATTCGAAGGACTACTCCCAATAGTTTCAATTACAGACTCTGAAAGGTAAAACAATAAATTAATAGAATCAAATGCAGGCTAATTTCTTTGCGATCCAAAAGTGGG